CATCTTGTACAGCAATTAACCACTAAGAAGAATATATGCAGTGTATTATTTGTTGAAACTGTCCTTCCGATATGATTTGAAACTGTCTCATTGCTATCTGTTTGTCAATAAAACTTGGAAAAATAAATAAATAAAATAAAAATAAAAAAATAAAAAAATAAAAAAAATAATCATCACATATTAATTTTATTAGGATCTGGATATGTCTTATATGAGTGGTTCATTTCAACAGATACTGATGCACATTTCCCGTATGTGGTATCTTGACAAATGCATTGAGGGATAAACTTGGATTAAGACATTAAGAGCTCAGAGCTACAATCTATAAACTTTGAAGATAAATACAGAGAGCTCTGTGAATTTAAAGAAAGAAATTAATTCAACTAGTGGGGGCTTCGTGGCATTTTAAGTGATACTCAAAGTTTAGGTATCTAAGTTATGGATGGCAGACTATAACCTGAAACTGTATTCTGTGTCTTTAAGCTCTTGCCTTTGGTGCACTAAAAATCCTAAGTAAATAAGAAAGATGCTAAAACCATTTTGCCTGGAGGCACCTAACTTTTTGCCAAAGTTAGAAAATTAGAATTTTAGGGGAAAAAATGTTATGTTATAACATGTTTATATTAGGTTATACTATAATTTATATAATCATTAAAATAACCTAATGAATTAGATCATAGAGAGCTGGGAAAACTGAGTATAAAGTTGAGGAATTCTCTCAAAATTTGACACAAAGAGATTGAATATGTAAAAATTTGAAAGGCAAGATGCCAAGCTAGATCCCGAAGACCAACTGTGACCATTAGGACAGGCAGGACTGAAGCAGACAGCAGTATCTTTATTTTAGGCTGGGTGCAACCTGGTCAAGGGCAAAAGGCCAGTGACCACAAATAAAGGGAGAGAATCAGCTTTGTAGACTAAAGTAGACATGGGACAGGTCTCTTGCTGGGTCTGGTGCCTCTAGCAGGAAGTCCTGGGGGAAGTACAGGATGACAGTAGAATTTTCCTGACTTACAGAGTGGTATGCTATAAAATTATAGGGTTTCCTGTAAGCACGAGAACCAAGCCTGGGAGCCATCTTGATAAACAGATTTATTTTAGTCTCTCAGGCTAAGTAAGGGGGGCTTTCCTTTTTGAACAGACTGGTCTGTCAAAGTTTTCTCTCTTCAGGTTCAGAGGGGCCTAATTGTGAGGACCTAATAGCATATGATAGATTCAGATGTTGTAATATCTTAATTATAAGAGTATCAGAAATAGAGTGAAGTCTTCAATTTGAAATGACTTTCTTTTGATGGAAAAAAAAAAACATGAAAACAACAACAAAAATACCTAGATAAGTGGGCTGAATCCTAGAACTCTTGCTAGGCTGAGTTAAGAGGTGTGTAACTTTGAGCCCAGCCTGGATAAGCTAGTGATTTATGGAGTCCCTGTTCCAAAATTAAAAATAGGAAGAAAAGAGCTGGGAAGTAACTCAGTGAGAGTATGCCCTGGGTTCAGTGCACAGCATGGGTTGGCGGCAGGGTTTCATTTAGTAAGCACTTATCAAAAGGCAGGAAGTTTTTTAATACCCTTCCATCCATTAACTCAGTGGTCACAATAGTCTTACAAAATTTATCTTACTTTTTATACTCACCTTTATTAGTCCATGCTTATGGTGCACAAGAAATATATTCACTGAGTGGAATTGGTCTCTATATATCATCACTATCCTTCGCTTTCCCTTCCCATGCCCATCCCACATTTGTATGTCTCCTTCCCATCTCCAAGTTGTCTATCTCTTTGTTTTCTATCATCTAGTTTTTATTTTGATATTTAAATGCTTTATTCTTTGGATTTCTCATATAAGAGATACCATTTGATATTTAGGCTTGTGTGTCTGATTCATTCCGTTTAACATTGTTGTCCCAAGGTGCTTCCATTTGCCCATGAATGACTCAAATTTGTCCTTACATATGGAAGACTAATGATTCTCTGTATATAAATGCCACATTTTCTTTATTCAATCTGATGGTAGAGATACAGGCTACTTCAAAGATTTAGCTATTGAGAGTTGTGCTGCTGAAACATGAGTGTGTGCATGAATCACCACTGTAATAGGATGTCTTTCACTCTTGCAAAGATGCCCAGAGGAGGCATAGATGAATCAAATATAATTTATATACTTGTCATCTGCCAAGTTATACCTAGCAAAAATTTTCTCCTTTCTCTAGGTTATCTTTACTTAATATTTTATCTCTACAGATTAGGCAACTGAATTTCAGAAAGCCTACATAGTTTAACTCACATTAGTAAGTGGTTGAACAAATATGTACCTCTTCATCTGCATCCAAACCTACACTATTAACTAAAATAGTAAGTTGCTAGGCTTCAACAGCTTTACTGGTACTACAGAGATCTTAAGCCTGCTAAAAAGAGAAAAGATATATTGGTTATAGAGAATGAGAATAAGAATAGCACTACTTTTTTATGCAGTGTAAAAACAAAATCAACCTGAAAATACCATCAAAATTGTGAGAAAAAAATCATTTTGAATTTAAAGTTATTTAATTCATTAATATTTAAGAGTATAAGTGAAATAAAGGCTGTATAGAATTTTGACAAATGCAATAAAAAAGTACAATTAGAAAGAGTAATGATGCAAGCTTATATGCCAAAATGGGCAACAGTGTGTTCTATATATCTAACTGTGCTACATTGAGAGACTGGAGGGGAGGGAGGAGCCATCATAGTTGAAGAATAGCAAGCAATTAGACTTGAAAAAGATGTACTGAAGCTATATCCTAGGAGATTTTGAATGCCAAGTTGAGATGTTTATATTCTATTAGTTCATTGAAAGGAACAGTTAGTGTTTACATTGTTTGATCAATTTTACATGCCTATATATCTGGTAATCTGAGCCACTACTTTGAAGATAACAATATGCAGTATGATAACTACTGTTAATTGCCTATCATTTTGAAATTTTGTATCATTTATATTGCTTTTTATTATTGTCTTTAAATTTTAAAAAGTGTCAAAAAAGAAAAAAAATATGGGCAGACCCCTGAAAGGTTTTTTAATAAGATACTGGTGAAGTCAACCGTATTTTTGATAACTTAATGAAATGGTATTGAGGAATAGAATAATTGCAACTTACTTCAATGATCTGTCTGACTGAAGCTCTGATCTTAGGAATTTAGGAACATTTGCCCCTATCAAAAACAAAGAAGCTCTTTTCTCCATGAAAGAGTGAATTATCTTAAACCTTCTCCTTCTAAATCTGTTTATGATATAATTATTTTATAATAAGATTGGCCATTTGAAGTATTTCTCACTTGATGTAATTCTCACCACTATTTTAGGGTATATGTGATGAATATTCTAGTTTTACAGATAAGAATATTGAGGTTTCAGACACTTAAGTCATTTTGTTGCGTTATAAAGCCACTTGGTGATGGAGGAGTCCAACTTGGTATGCAGTTGTTGAAGACCTGGTTTTTGAAAGTATATGGATTTGACTCTGAACTCCATGCCAAGGAGCCTCCAGAGGCAAACTAATAAGGAAACAAAATATTTGTATCTTTAAAAATAGAGCAAATGCTGTAAGAACACAAAAGATGGTTGGCTGACGTTAATGTGAGTGGAAAAAAGATGTCACAGGATGTTCTCAGTGAAGACCATCTACTCCCTTGATCATGATACTTGGTAAAGTACTACTCAGGTAGAAAAAAAGGCCAATATAAGTCTTTCCCAGGGACATTTTGTTCTCTTAATGATGTAGTGCTTGTAGCAGCCTGGAATACCAGTGGACATCTAAGTGTGTGTGAGTATCAACAATAAACAGTGCTTGATTAAACTAAGTCTAATAATCCTTGGACATTAAATGCTTGAATATAATGAAATGCTGTACAGTATGATTTTACCAATAATTTTTCTTTAATGCAGCTGAATCCAATAAAGCCTCTGGAGATAAAGAGATACCTGATAAGATCAATTTCAGCATGGAAATTAAGAGCCCCCTGGAAATCTAAATGTAAAGATTAACAAGAACTTATTTTCTCCTTAGGGAAGAAAATTATTTCAGAGTCTGGATATTTCTGAACATCTGAAATTTTTGCTCACTTTGGGTAAGTGTTATGCAGTGGATTATCTTTCAGTTTTTGTAATTGTTAGTAATCATACTCTATGTGTTCATCTGAAATAGTGAAATCTCCCATTCTCTTCATGTTTCTAATTATCAATGGTAAGCATTAGCAGGATAGCTTAAGTAGCTTCTGAACTATTATGATGACATGCAAAATATTGTATAGGGCTTTCTTGATTTATTGAGGAATTTTCACATGGATGGAAATAATACTAGTTTCATGATTTAGTCAAGTTAGCTATGAAAATATGAAACTGTATGTATCTATATCATTTAATATTGAACAGTGTCTTCAATTTTGGGCTTTCTGCTTGACTGGCTATGAATAACAACTTGGGAAGAATGCTTATTTCCTCATAAAATGTTCATTTTTTTTCCACGTTTGAAGTTTATATAACTTAGAGTGGGTCGAGTTAAATATATGTGGTAATAAAGTAAAAAGAAACAGTGCTAAAACACTTTCTATAAAAAAGTGGTAGGTTAGTATGCAGATTAAGAAAATTTACAAGTAACACCTATAGAAAAATCATAATACATATAAAATGATAATGAATCATAAAGTTGCATAAAACTTTACCAGATTAATTACATTTTATTATAAATATTAATAATATAATTATGAAGGCATTTTGGAGATTGCTAAATGTGGTTCATATTGAACTTTAAATCCCCAGAAAAATTTGTGTATACTCTCCAGATTGTTAATAATAGATATAAATTAGGTGGGGGTTTTGGTCTTTTTTTTGAGACAAGGTCTTACTATGCAGTTCAGGCTAGGCTTGAGCTCATTTTGTAGCCCAGACTGATCTCAAATCCATGATAATCCTCTTGCCTCAGACTCCCAAGTCCTGGGATTACAGACGTGTGCCACCACATCTAGCATACATTAGTTTTATAATTATGCAAAAATAAAGCTTTTAAATATCTTTACCTCCCTGAATTCTTCTTTCAAGTTGTTAATTTTAGTATGTCTGATTAATTAATATCTGGTGTTTAAGATTCTTTATTTTATCTAAAAATGTAAGGAAATATTAGAATATTTTGCTGAGTTAACACACGTATAATATTCAAATAACAGAACTGAACAAAAAAAGGGGATACTGATGAATGTCCATTTTGTATCTGTGTATTCAAAATGGTTAGGATAGATACATAGTAACATTCTCTTCACGAATAGAGGGCTTTGTTATAATAGTGTTTGTAAATAGGGTATCATGTCCGCATCTTGTACAGCAATTAACCACTAGGAAGAATGTATGCAATGTGTCAATTATTGAAACTGTCCTACCAATTTGGTTTGAAACTGTCTCATTGCTATTTCTCAATAAAATTATGGAAAAAAAATTTAAAAAATAAAAATAAAATAAAATAAAAAGGTAAGGAAAGTAAAAAAACTCAAGTATTAGTATATCAAATATACAAGCTGCACTATGCTATAAATTTTTAAAATATTTTATTTATTTATTTATTTATTCATTTATTTATTTGGTACAGGGTCTCGCTACGCAGCCTGGACTTGTAGTGATCCTCCTGTCTCAGCCTCCCCAGTCCTGGGAGTACGGGCGTGCACCACCATGCTTGTTTTTGGTGGCCAGCTCTTTATGGAGCTGGCATGCTTAAACCACTGAGCTAGCTCCCTAGGCCTGTTGTTCTATAAATTTTGACTGGGTTTATTCCCTGATGTTCTAATCAGATTAAGCTGATGAAGTAGTGTGCTAGATCTAAAGGCTACTTCTATTCCATCTGCCTGTTTTGTAGACTGTGTAGATGACCCTGTAACAGTGCTGGCAGAAGAGCATGGTTGTCTGGACATCATAAAGGTTGGTTATAATCCTGTCTTTCTGTGTTCCTCTCACTGAATAAGTGCACCTGTGTGATTCCTAGGGAACCAAATACTACAGTATTTTCTCCCAACGCTGCAGGCCAAAAGACCCAACATCCAGGTACCTTGAGGGTCTTGTTTGGTGTGGCTGCATGTCGAGAACAGTGAAAGGCTGCTCACCGATGGAAGGAGCTGGGAGCATGCTGAGGAGGCTGCTTTCCCAAGGGCTCCACCCCACCCCACCACTCAAGCCTGCACCTCTTAGCCTCTTCCTGTTCAGTCCCTGCACTTGGACCTGGAGTCAAACCTTGAGAATATTACTGATTTACACACTCAGGATTCAGCAGCAATCTATTCAAACTATGCTTAGTTCTTTCTAAATATTTGTTTTCTCACACAGTGACAAATACTAGATGTTGTAAAACCCAACTACTATAAGGGTTTTTACATTTTATACAGAAATAAATATTTGAGTAATATATATTTAGAAAATAGAACATGTAAATGATAATTTTTTTCTCTGTTTACCAGGAGCTTCCTGAAACTGTGATAGATCTTTTGAAGAAGTGTCTGACCTTCCATCCGTCTAAGAGGTTTGTTGATATTATTAAAACTTTGAGATTACACTGACATCCTTTACATATAAGCAATTGATTTTTCCCTTATTATAATATGAATAGATTATGCTTACATATGTAGTAGTGCTCAGTTCAGATCAGTATCCTAAAACTGAGTGACTTAAGTCTTCAACGTTTGTTAATAAAATAAAATTTAAGTTAAAAGATAGTCAGAAAACTGACATATTTCAAAAGAAGTTAGTAGCTCATTTCTTAGCCTCCAAATAGAAAATCAGCTAACCTGGAATATTCATATTTCTAGACCAAATGATAGCAGAGAAATGAGAACAAACTTTGTCACCATTATGTGTTATAGCAGTGAGCTTGGTTACATGTTGAGATAGCTAATGACTGATGGCAATATAAAAGGATTCCTTAAAAATTTTCTTTATTTTCATTTGACTGTGCCACTTAGAAATATAAATATTTCTGAAGTACTTAAGTATATGTTTGAAATAATGTAGTATAATTTTCTTTTTTTTTAATATTTTTGTTGAGAAACAAATAGCAATGAGACAGTTTCACAACTGATTACTAGTACATTTTCAGTAATTAATACATTGCATATTGTTATCTTAGTGGTTATTCATTGTACAAGATGCATACCTGATATCCTGTCTCAAATGCTATTAGAACAAACCTCTCTATTCATTGAATTAAGAGAATGGAGCTGTATTTCTATCCTAAGTATATTGAGTATACAGATACAAAATGGTCGTTCATTTGTATCCCCCTTTTTTGGTTAGTTTTGTCAAAGAAGGGCATTCCATTGTCATTTAAATACTGTAGGTGCATGAATTCAGCAAAATATTCCAATATAGTCCAGTAGTCCATAATAGTAGTGGGTTTTCCATAAGACTGTCAATGTATCTGATAAGGTCAATCAACTCCCCTCAGGATTTAACCAGAAACCCTGTACCTCAGTTTGTAGATCCTTTGTCAGTGTCAGCCATGTGGATGAGTCACACCCATTGCTTGACCAATTTGCTTTCTGTGAAAGCTTGAGAGAATGTTTTCTCTCCATGTGACTCTCCATAGGCACATCTACATCATTGATCACTTTCCTCTATGGCCCCAAAATCTCCTTGAACAGAAAATTTGGGACACAATTGAGTTATAGGATGTTACAGTACAGGTTCTCCTTTTTCCTGAATCCTTACTGACCTTGAAAGGCTAGGGCCAAAATGTTGGCTGTCCTTGTAGCCCTTCTCTTTTTTTAATTTTTAGTCTGCCAACTTAAGTTGTTAACCCTCCAGAAGAGAAGCTTAATGATATTATTACCCTGTAACATAGGCAGTTGAGCTTAACCTCACTATCTGTCTGAATAACAAACATCTTAGACATAACATGGAACAGGTATTTTCCATCAAGTATTGATATGTTAAACTTCAAGTCCCTCCAGAATATAAAGAAAAAAGATTAAAAAGATAAAAAAAAATTTTAAGTAAGAATAAGCATTTATATTTTTTTACACAGACATTTAGAATTTCTGTATAATTTTCTTTAAGGGAATTACTTTATCAATAAATGTTAGGAACAAAGGAATGGTATTAAAGCATAGTTTTGGATGAATATAACACATTAAACCAAAAAGGTAGAAAGGAAATTTTTAAAGTATTAGATTACATCATTATAGACATTCAATAAAAGCAGGTATGTGCAAGTGAGGCTGAAAGTAAAAAATACAAAATCTCTTGTAGACTAATTTCTGTTTATAAGGTACAGAAAGAACAAAATTTAAAAACTAAATGTTTCTGGTAATTTGGTTGTTACATAAAGATATACTCAAATATTTTATTCTGCCTTTATTCCTTTCTCTGGGTAGATGCTAAAAATTTCAGAATTTCCTTGGGTTTTTTCTAATTTTTCTTAGTACATATTTGTAGTATATATAATTGAATTCAGTGTGGGGAGCTGGTACATGGACATACCATATTGTAATCCTCAATTATCCCTTCACCCGCTACCTCTTGGTCCCTTCCTGCTGACTCAAGATCTATCATCTCCCTGTTTCTTATTACCTATCTCTCATTGTGCTTTTTAATTTATTTAAGTTTTCTTATGTTAGCTAGTAAGTAGGTTTATAAACTAAAGTTGAGAAGTGCTGTGTTATTTTCTGTGCTGAGATATTTAAGATTTTTACTATCCTCTTGAATGTGTGTCATTTCTCTAGGAACTATTTTGTAACTTCTATTTTTTCTCTGTATTTTAAAATTGTTTTTCAAGGCCAACCCCAGATGAATTAATGAAGGACAAAGTGTTCAGCGAAGTGTCGCCTTCATACACCCCCTTTACCAAGCCCGCCAGTCTGTTTTCATCTTCTCTGCGGTGTGCTGATTTAACTCTACCTGAGGATATCAGTCAGTTGTATAAAGGTAATGATAAGTAAAATATAGGCAGTGATGTCAGCCCTGTTTCCATAGGAAGTTCCTTCTCTTAGTTTTAATTTTGAATTTGTCAACAGTGTTTTTACATTAGTGGACCAGATGGAAAATTGTTTAAAAATTTAGAGATGATTCTAGCAGTGCTTAAAAGACACAAATTTTAAGTCTCAAACTTGCCTCAAACTTAAGTTATTAACGTTCTATCTAAATTTATTATAAATGATGTCTAGAAAAATCATATTATTGATAGGACATCCATGCCATTGTATTTTACTGTCAAAGACAATAGGTTTTTATCTTTATGTAAAGATTGCAACTTTCACAGTGTGTGTGTTCGTGACACCAGTAGGTTAGTCTCATACTGAAAAGTTATGGTGCCATAGTCATGGCAGAAAGTATATACTACATTTTCATAATTAAATATTTAATAGTACTGAGTTCCTATTGTATACCACACAATGAATCGTTAACATCTGTGTGAAATGGGAAAGCAGAAATTTATATAATTCCTATTTTAGAAGTCAATCCACAGGAGCACAGCACTGTGGAAACAGCCGAAGCCCTATTGCTTACGCCTGTGACACCAAGAAACACTTCTCAGAGAGGCGGCTAATGTCTTCATAAACATGGCACATATAGACAGTGCTATTGGCTCACGTGAGGGCTTATTTTCTGCTCTTACTCCTTTCCTAATATAGAGACTAAAAGTTGCAGGTTTACTAGGGCCAGTGGTATAGCTTAGTGAACTAAGCGTATGCTTACGTAAGCACAAAAGCCAAAGTTTGATCCCTGGCACCTCATGCCGCGCCAGCCCCACCCCTGGGTGTGCTGAGTCAGTGATGGAATCCGGGCATGGTGGCGCACACCTGTAATCCCAGCACTGAGGAGGCAGAAATCAGGAGGATCACTATGAGTCCAAGTTGCATAGTGAGACCCTGCACAAAAAAAAAAAAAAAAAACCTTAAAAAAAAAAGTTCCAGGTTTACTTACTCCTAGTTTCTCTTGCTATAGTAGGAAGTTGGCTTGTGTAATAAAGTTGAGTGATGTGATCTAAATGGAAGTCTGCTTGGAGTGATACTTCCTTTTAGGAAGTATTTTCTTGTTGACAAAAAAGGTGCTGCAAAATTTAGCAGTTCACCTTCTCTTTTGGATGTAGGAAATGCGTCAAGAAGTATGACAAACCTAGGCCCCTAAATGGTCTTTATAGCATAAGCCACCCTTAATAAGATAACTTTTTTTGAGGGGGGGGTTGGAGCATTCAGATTATAACACAAAATGAATTTGAATGTATCCATCAAGACCTAGCACTAGACAGAGAAAAGAATGGCCAACTCCTGTTCAGTCTGGCTATCCCATCTACCTTAGGGCAGAAGTCGCAGACTCCCTGCCTTACAGAACCCTAATCACATGATGGTAGGATGCTTTTCCTTTCTTTTGCTGAATTCTCATAGACACCTGGAACTGGCTGGAATAGGGAGCTTTCCTCCCCACTCAGTTAGGCTCTGACTGACACCTTCTCCTGAGGAGGCCTAGGTAAGAGCAGAGTGCTGTGTTTCCCATGATTCCATTTCTTCCTCCCACTACCAGAAGCGCAAGGATATTTTCCTGTGAGATTTACTGTGAGAAGCTGATCCAACTCCTAGAAGTAACTTCTCAGAGGACTGGGCATCCTCCAGTGGCTGTGTCCCCTAGAGTTTTAATAGATCTTGTATACACTGAGCCTCTAACAGTTTGACAGTTCAGTTTCTGACCCTGCCTGACTCCTGAGGTGTTTTCTGCTCTAGCAAGTTGTGATTCCCTGTATTCTCCTCTGTTTCTTACAGTTGCAGGGGTAGTACCTCTCCCTAGGTCCTTACCTCTCTCACTGATTTAAGAAAAGATGTTATTTATATAAATATAAATATCCATATATATTTATAGCTATAAAAGCTCTATAGCCCCACTGCATGTACTAGAGATCAGCTTTATATTTGCTAAATGAAATGCCAACTTCCAGGCTTCTTATATGTACACACAGTCTATTCTTCAGGTTTTGCTTTTTTCAGAATGTCTGCTATCACTGCCTGTTGAATTCTAATAAACACAAATCATGATGACTGATTCTTTTTAATTTGCCATTAACAGATATAGACAGTGACTACCTGGCAGAAAGATCCATTGAGGAAGTTTATTACCTTTGGTGTTTGGCTGGCGGTGACTTGGAGAAAGAGCTTGTTAATAAGGAAATCATTCGATCCAAACCCCCTATCTGCACCCTCCCCAAGTAAGGAAAGAAAACTTCTCTTGGAAATAGGGGAAAGTGACCTTGTAATAACACTAAAAAACAGTTTGATTTTGTTTTCTTTTTGTAGACATGCCAAGAAAATGATTATGGAAGTAACTGAAAGCCAACACATGTTTGATTGGCCTTAGTTTCTAATTATACAGTTCCCATCAGTATTTTTATTACTTTTAAATAAATATTATCTTTTAATCTTTCTTTGTAATGTATTTATATAGTTAGTATTACACAACATCATGCTATAATTTGTATTTGTGAAAAATGTATGAATCAAAGCAGTAGTATTTGAGGCAGCGTAATAAACTGACCAAGATTCACCTGTTATGTTATATTATTTTCCATATATATTTGTAGCTATAAATGACCTCTGGCTGGGGAGATGGCTCAGTGGAATAAGTGCTTCCCAAGTGCAAGGGCCTGAGTTCAATCCCTGGTTCTGCCAAATAAATAAATAAATAAATAACCTCTGTGGCCCCACTGAATGTATTGGAGATCATCACTTGGCATACTCACAGTTGAGAGAAATCTGCCAAACACCTATTATAAGTTAGACTGGAAGCTAAAATAACTGAATCCCTGCAGGCCAATTTTGTCTTTATTATAATGTTTTTAGTTACATTTATTGATGAAATAAATGTGAATTTATAGAGCTTATTGCAAGCTTTAAAGTTTTAATTTTATATTTATTTATTTTTGTGCAGGATCTCACTACACATCTCAGACTCAATGATCCTTTTGATTTGTGCCTCCCTAGTGCTGGGATTACAGGCATGCGCCATCACACCCAGACTCCATCGTTGGCTCAAGGTGCCCAGGGGTGGGACCAGTGCAGCATGTAGTGCCAGGGGTCGCACCCTGGTCCCTGTGCTTACCTAAGCAAGTGCTTAGTCGGCTGAACTACATTGCCAGCCTTTTATAGTTTTAATTTTAGATTTAGGACAGATTTGATCATTGTATGTAATTGTAGAAGCTTCTTTCATAATTGTATAGAGCTTCTTCCAAGCTTTAATGTTTTAATTTTAGATTGCAGGACAGATTTGATCATTGTGATTAATTGTGGAAGCTATACACACATCATTTTCTTTTTAGTTTAAACTGTTATTAAGAGATTCCTTTAAGATCCTGGTAATTCTTGCTTGTGTGAGTGAACGTTTTTAAAAGCAGTACTTAGATTTGAAAATATGGGCTGGAACATGGCAGCACACACCTGTAATCCCAGGGCTGGGGAGGCTGAGACAGAGGATCACTGTGAGTTGGAGCTGCATAGTGAGGCCCTGTACCAAATAAATAAATAAATAAATAAAGATTTTAAAATGCTTTATAAATCAAAGATATTTGCTAGCTCATACTTAACCAATAGTCTAAATTTCATTTGTTACATTTTCAAATTTGGATAGACCATTAGTTTTCCACTTTTTTCCCCTCTAGATATGAACTTCATGCTGGTCATGTATTTGCCATTCCAGTATTTATTTTATGTCTTACTTTTAGTACTTCTTTGCTATCATGAAAACTTTTTCTTAGTTCAATTGTTTTGAAACATTTAATTTTTAATTAATTAGTATTTAATTTTCTGAATATTGCTTAATCTTAATTTTTGTTCTAAGATTCATACTATATCTTTGACTTACAATTTACTTAAAAGACATCATATAATATCTTCTCCTAGTATTAGAAACTTTAAAAAGTATATTTCCATTTTCTGTTGACTTTATATTACTTCTTTCTTGTCTTTTATACACACACACATATATATATATATATAAAAATACGTGTATAACCCAACATAAGATTGGCAGTGTTTCATAGAAATCTGCAATGACCTTTAAATAAGGGTTCATCTAATATATCTTTTATATAGTCCTGCATAACTATCATATTGAGAGCACTTTATTGTTCATCCAGGAGCATACTGCAACTTCTCTTGCCTTTCAAATTATGCTCTTTGTTATTTCCTATATGCTACTTCTGGAGGTATTAAAATATTTCAAGTTTGTAAAAAGAAAAAAAGATATTAACTTCAATCATATGTCATTCACTGTGTCAACTAGAATGTCAGCGGTAGGCAGATAGAAATTCAAAAAAAAAAATTGTCTGAAGGATAAATACATTCTTAAAAGTAATTCTTTGAAGTTCCGGTCAGGTTGGATGCCTTTGTTATCCAGTGCAGTAGTTTTCCTCTGAGCGGTTGCCATGTGCTGTGTCTTCTCTCCTTTTCCACTTGTCACCTGCCCCGACTTTCTCAGGAGCATATTTGAATAGTGTCGGAAATTTCACATTAAGATCACATAAACAAAGAATCGTGATACCATGCATTCCTGAAATGCTTTGTGAACACTATATTATACCAACCCAAGAGATCTAAAAGTGGGACTTATTTGGAGAGAGCTCAACCAATGGTTATATTGTTTTAAATTAACTACCCATTATGATTTAGGAAAATAGGTTCAATACAATAATTTTTAAAACAAATTTTTTTTTCAGTTTTGTTTTTGAAGATGGTGAAAGCTTTGGACAAGGTCGAGATAGAAGCTCCCTTTTAGATGATACCACTGTGACACTGTCATTATGCCAACTGAGAAATGTAAGAATAATAGTTTACAGAATTGCTTCAGGATTTTAAAGACCTTAAAGATATGCATGAACCCTTGTGTTCCTCCCTGATTTCATAAACTGATGTACAATCTACTATAAAGTAATTGCATCAGAAGGGACTTAGAAGAAAATAACACCTATAAAATATCAGACTTTTTGTCTGATCACAAAAAGGATTTTTATCAAATTATCTTTTCACCATCATAGGATAAGTGCTCTTTTTTCTCTACTGAGGTGATGCTACTTGTTGTTATTCAAATTTTAAAAATTATTTTGTTAATCTCTTGTTATAAAGTGGAATTCTGCTTCCATACTAATCTTTACTTACATTAGTGCAGCTTTCTCATTCTGAGCTGTTTCAGTCCTAGGTTGCATTTTTTGCCAGCATTTCTGAGTGATTTGTCACTGACTTGGCATCAAAACTGTATTATTCACGTAACATGAATAAGAGTATTACATTTTTTCTACTTTCTGCAAAACTTTATGTACGGGGTTACATATATCTATTTATTGAATGTTTCATAGGACTTACTTATAAAACCAATAAAACGTAAAACTTAACTTTATGTTTTTATAGGCACGTTCTTAATCAAGACAAGGAGGTTCTCTTGTATTTTTAGTTTGCTAAGACTTTTCAAAAATGAGTGTTGGGCCAGGGTAATAGCTCAGTAGAATAAGCGCTTGCCTGGCAAGTGCAAGGGCCTGAGTTCAATCCCCGGTTCCGCAAAAAATGAGTGTTGGACTTTATCAAAAGCTTTTCTGCATGTATTGATACAAGATTTTTCTCTTTTATTTGTGGATCTTATGGTTTCTATTAATTGCTTTTATATTCTGTATGAGCCTTGTTACTTAAAAATCATTTGGCAACACATATACTAAAATTCATTTGGAGATGTACTGTATAATTATCTTTATTCCTGTATAGACTCAAATGCTAGTATATGAAGAATTTTTGCCTCTGTAAACATGAAAGATACTGATCTGAAGTTTTCTTTCTGTGTTGACTGTTATTGTTGCCTTTGGTATTAGTGTAATGCTGTCTTTGGTGAGTTATGAAATATTTAATTCTGTTTTCCGGAAGAACTTTTTTTATCATTTCTGTTAATGTTTGGTGTTATTCATCACTGAGCACCATCTGGGCATGAAGTCTTTCTTCTAGGAAGATTGTTCATTTATTGATTGAACTCCTTTAATAGTCCTAGTCAGATTGTCTACTTCCTCTTATGTGAGGTTTTATGAATTGATATATATCATCTTTTCCTTATCATCATTTTCCTTATCAGAGCACTGCCTTATTTAAAATTAATATAACAATTCCAGCTCTCTTTTGATTGTTAGCATATTGTATCTTTCTCTATTCCTTTACTTTTAATCTTTTTATTTGTGTTTAAAGTGAGTTTGTTATGGACACATACAATTGAGTCTTGTATTTGTATCCATACTGATAGTCTCAGTCTTTTTAATTGCTTTATAAGGACCATGCACATTATAGAGATTATTAATATACAGCATGATACACTGTTTTCTGTCCTTGCCCTTACCTATTGCTGCTGCCACTTCACCTTTTACTCTTTTTCTGCATTCTCTGGTTTTAAAAATGATCATTTTACATGGTTCCATTTTCTCTGCTTTCTTAGAATATTTCATTTCCTTTTCTTTCTTCTATTTTTTTATTGAGAAACAAATAGCAATGAGATAGTTTCAAAACTGATTAATAGGACAGTTCAATAACTAATACATTGTATATTGTTATCTTCTTAGTGGTTATCCATAGTACAAGATGCAGACAGGATATCCTGTCCAAACACTATTAGAACAAATCTTTCTTCTCATTGAATTAAGCGAAAGTACCTGTATATCTATCCTAACTGTTCTGCATATACAGAAACAAAATGGTCCTTCCTTTGTATCCCCTTTTTTTGTTTAATCCTGTCAGAGATGGGTATTCCATTGGCATCTAAATACTATAGGTGTGTGAATTCAGCAAAACAATCCAACACAGTCCAGCAGTCCACAATAGTAATGGGTTATCCACACAAGTTTTTGATTTGAGCCTTTCACAGTTCTGCATATTAATATGGCTTTAGTTTATATACCTCGTTTTTATACTTTTCTGCTGGATGGTTAAGACCAACATAAAGCAAGACCTATATAACAAGAAATGTAACTTTTGTATCTGATAAGGTCAGTCAACTCTCCTCAGGATTTAACCTGAAACCCTATACCTCAGTTTGTAGATCCTTTGTCAGTGTCAGCCATATGGATGAGTCACAGTCATTGCTTGACCAGTATGCTTTCTGTGAAAGCTTGAGAGAATGTTTTTCTCTCCATGTGACTCTCCTTAGGCATATTCTACGTCATGGATCACTTTCCTCTGTGGCCCCCAAATCTCCTTGATCAGAAAATGTGGGACACAATTGAGTTACAGAATGTTACAGCACAGGTTCTCCTTTTTCCTGAATCCTTACTGATCTTGAAAGTCTAGGGCCAAAATGTTGGCTGTCCTTGTGGCCCTTCTTTTTCTTTAATTTTTGGTCTGCAAACTTAAGTTGTTAACCTTCCAGAAGAGAAGCTTAATGATATTATTACCCTATAACATAGGCAGTTGAGCTTCACTATCTGTCTGAATAACAAACATCTTAGACATAACATGGAACAGGTATTTTCCATCAAGTATTGATATGTTAAACTT